TAACTAATAAGAAAGGTAAAATGTGTATCCACATTTCACAAGTTCTATAAAGAAATTAAAGATCTAAAAAAAAGTGCTGTTAACAAGGACCTTTAAAAAAAAACCCAAACTCTTGAAAATTAAGATCACCAAATACTGTAACATGCTGATAAGAAAATTTCCTGCAAATCCTCTAGAAGTCTTTAAAAATAGGATGGAATCATCTATCAAGATTCATTTTAATAAAGTCCTACAAAGAGATAAAGGGACTGAATTACATAACTCCCTAAAGGTTCCTTCCAGCTCTAATTCTACAAAAGCCCCCAATTCTAATTCTTTCAAAGATTCCCTAATACTAAATGGCACCCTTTACATCCAATAAAGGTAGACCCTCTTCTCATTTTTTGAATGGCAGGGAGAAAAAAAATACTGCTTTATTGCTACTCCTCCTTGTGAAAACCGTGTCTACTGACATCATAAAAAACCAGTAACACCCTTGGCCAGTATGACTCAATTGGAGCGTCATCCCATAAACTGAAAGGGTTTGGTCCCAGGTCGGGGTACACCTAGGTTGCGGGTTCAGTCCCTAGTTGGGACATTACGGGAGGCAACTCACTGATGCTTCTCTCACATGGATGTCCCCCCTGAAGTTAAAAAGACAAAAACAAAAAACCCAGCAATGTCTACACCCATGAGGATGGTTACCAGGAAAGCCTAACACCCAACACTCCTGTGACGTTTCTCCTTTATTCACTCCACCACCACACACACACACCACTTGTGACACCAGACTGGGGAGGGAGGTGTGTGTGTTTCCACGCCATCCAGTGATACTTCAACAACAGCTCAGTGCCCTACAATGAACTCAGTTCTAATGCTGTTTACCAGGAGATATCGTCGCATCCCACAAGTTAAGGGCTCAAGTCCCACAAGACTACCTATCCCCCCCCTCAAGCCCCAACGTCAGATGCCAATCACAAGCCTAGATTCTCAACTGTGCTTCTCACGCTCAGCTACAAATCAGAGGTTCCCACGACCCACTCTTCCAGTCTGATTAACTCACAGAACTCAGGAAAACTGTTTACTGACTGTTTACCAGTTGATTATAAAAAGACACAATGCAAGATACAGGTGAACATGTAGTGTGAAGAGATGCACAGGGCATGGTGTGTGGAAGGTGTGTACCACCCTCCCAGCACCTCTGCGTGTTCAGCAACCCACAAGTTCTCCCAACCCCATACCTTTGGGATTTTAATGGAGGAGACTTAACTCCATTAGCAGCCCCTCTCCCCACTCTGGAAAACAGGAGGTAAGGCTGAGAGTCCCAAGCTTCTAATCATGGCTTGGTCTTTCTGGGGACCAGCCCCTATCTTGGACCCATCAAGAGTGACCTCATAGGACAGAACACTCAGAAGGCTCCAAGAGATTTAGGTGCTCTGTGGACAGGAGTCAGGGTCAAAGACCAAATACAAAAACAAAACATGCTCTTAATACTCTTATTACTCAGGAAATCACAGAGATTTTAGGAATTCTGGGCCTGGAACTATAGATACATACTCCTATTATCTCACAGCTACAGCCACTGTGGAAAATATTGTGGCATTTCCTCCAAAAATTAAACTACCACATTCCAACAATTCCATTTCTGGGAAATGAAAACAGAAACTCCAAAGAGATCTACCTGCACAACCATGTTCGTAGCAGCATTATTCACAGTTACTAACACGAGGGAGTAATCCGAGTGGCCACTAACAGATGAATGGCTAAGCAAATGTGGTATGTATGTATATATGACAGAACAGTATTCATTCTTAAATAGGAAGAGAATTCTGATACGTGCTACTACATGGATGAACCACAAGGACATTATGATACAGGCCATAAGCCCATCACAAAAGACAAACAATGCACTATTCCACTTACTTGAGGTACTTACAGCAGTCAAATGGATAGAGACAGAAAGTAGGAAGGCAGTTACCAGGGGCTGGAGGAAGAGGGGAACAGGGAGTCACTGTTTACTGGGTACGGAGTTTCAGTTTCGCAAGATGAAAGAATTACGAGGATGGATGGTAGTGGCAGCTGCACAAATACGCATACATTTAACACCACTGAACTATACACAAAAATGTTTAGGATGGTAAATTTTGTTATGTGTGTTTTATCACAACAACAAAAAGGAAAACAAAACCAAACAGTAATGTCTGATTGTTTCACAGGCCCAATCTACCGTCAGATCTATTTAATCGGACTCTAAACCTGAGTTCGACAAAGCGGCAGCATATACACACAGTCCCCAATTTAAAGCAGTTCCGCTTAATGATTTTCCGACTTGATGATCACGTGATAGTGAATCGCATTCAGTAGAAACCGTGCTTTAGATTTTGAATTGACTTTTTCCCTCGCTAGCGAGGTGCGGTTAAGATACTCCTGCGATGCTGGGCAGCGGCAGCGACCCACAGCTCCCAGCCAGGCACGTGACCACCGGGGCAAATGCCTGGTGCTCCTAGGGAAGCGCTCAATGCGCGCCTGACCTCGGACCGACCGGAGTTGGCAGGATGTAACCCCACCGTCCGATGGCAGACATTTGTTCACGCAGCTCTACGAACATAGACACAGACTCTGAAGAGCGTGAAGAAACCTTAGCAGTTTCTAACTTCTCTCCTGTTCATAAAAGACGAATGTTGAAATATGTGAGGAAATTATATTGAAATATCTTGGGGTAAAAAACCATGTCATAATCTAAACTACTATTTTAGTAAAAGTAGAACCCAAACCTATGCACTTAACATCTTATACGTATTTTTATGGCAAGCATATCACCCAGAAACGACAAAGAAGAAACCAGGGCTGGGGCGCTACCATATCACTTTCATTAAAACAGAAACAACTTCTTTAAAAAATCCTCACCCAAAAGACAAGTTTACTGATTTTTTTTTTTTAAAGAGAAAGAGGAAAGAAGGAGACGCAGAGACACAGACATCAATCGGTTGCTTTCCACATGCGTCCGAACCCAGAATGAGCCCCTGACCGGGAGTTGAACCCACAACCCTTTGATGTCCTGGATGACACTCCAGCAACTGAACCATCTGACCAGGGCAAAGCAGAAACAGCTTTAAGAAATATTTTAGAGATACTCTTGCTGTCATAAGTTACCAAAAATCTCTCTTTCGTTTAAAAGAAAAGAAAAAAAACCCCTCACAGACAATATTCCTCATGCACTGTTTAGCAGCCCTGAACATCCTTTAGGCCCTTCCACTAGACCATTCTTCCAAATGTCAACACAGTCCTGGAGTAAAAATTTTCCCTAAAACATATCAGGAGAAGTTAGCCGATGTTTGAGTCATACAGATTTTTAAGTTTCATTTTAGCAACTTGATATTTCTTCACCATATTACTCGGCAATTTCTGAAGAAACATTATGTTTACTGATGCTAAATTGTTAGGGATTAAGGGAGGGAGGAGTGTGATTTACTGCTAAATCAGAACCTAACTCCTCTGTATTAAGTGAAAAGAGCCCTTAAAGACAAAGCAAGTCAGAAACGTGGGCACCTTTCTCTCAATTTCTCTCCCCCTTTTAAATAGACCACTCACTCACCTGAAGTGGATTTTCTGACCCCTCCCTGTTAGGTTTCCCCGTTCCACTCCATTCCACGAGTTTGTTGTACTAGCCGTGTCCACTGCTAGAAAACGATTCCTTCCACTGCTTATAATGAGCCCATTCTTAGTATTTCCTCTCTCACAGTTATTTCTTTAAAAATGAAAACGAATCTACTGAATTTGTATATTATATTGCCTCAGGCCTCAGAACTTCTGGGAAGGGCAAGTCTCTTGGAAGTACTTCCCTTCAACTCGTACAGTCTTATTCTCTCAACATGACTTGGAGAAAAGCTTTATTTTTTGTTTCGCACCAAACAGCAACAGGCCTATCTATAATATCTACTGACTGGGGGAGCAGACGGCCAGACATTTACCTGAAAGCCTAGCTAAATCACAACAGTCACAAGCCTAGTCCAGCGGACAGACTACTATTGGGGGGAGGGGGCGGAGTTTTCCTTCATATCTGAACGAGGTTTGTAAATATTAACGTCGACTGCAAACATCACAACACTCTCTTCCAGCAACACCGATCTAGCATCCTTTCAACCAGTTTGTCTTTAAAAATACGTTTCGGCAAACTATGTCAGTCCAGAGAAATGGAAGGTTAATAATTACTGTCTTGAACTAAGAACTTCTAGAAATATTTCAGAACTGCCTGGACCTGGCTGGTGATTCAGCCTTGGCTAATTAGTACAGACTCACCACAAGTCACCCCCAGGTTAAACAATCCCCTTGGGTGACAGAACTCTTGCTCAAAGAGTCAAAGGGACAACGAACTCCACCTGGAGCCGGGACGGGGTCTCCCCCACGGGCTGGGGACGTACTGCTTCGGAGGCACCGGGCCGGGTTCGCGTCCAGACCTGAGGAAGCACGTCCTGCTTGGGAAGGGGGAGGTATGTGGTAGGAAGCGTCTAACTACGTTTCCGCCGAGCATCTCCCGCTCATTTTCTCTGCCTCCTGAGGACCCCAAGACGGTTTTCCTCGGACAGCTTCAGGATTCAAAAAGGAAGCAACCATCTCGAGGGCATGAGAAAGGGACCTTGAGAGAATCAAGAGCCCCGAGGGGGTCCTCCTGGGTCCCGGGAGTCACGCCCTGCCTCCAGTGGAGGACATCCCGCGTATCTGGCCAGAACGGGTAGAGCAAAGTACCCAGGTTTCGAGCACAGCCCAAACCTCGGGGCGCAGGAGAGAAAGAGACCTCAGGCGCGGGGAGACGGGGGGAGCCCCTGTGCCGCCCTTGAGGTTCCGGCTCGCGGCAGGCCCGGTCAACACCGGGACGCCACCGCCAGCACACCTGAGCCGCGCCGGACGCCTGCGGGGCTGGCGGTCACCGCGATCTCCCCCAGCCCGGCCGGCTCCGCAAGGGCGCGCCATCTCCGGGGTCCGGCCCACAGCCCCGGCCCGGCCGCCTGGTCCCACCGTACCTGGCCAGCTGCGGCGGCAGAGGCGGCAGCGCTGCTCCTCACGTACCCATTCCGCACTTCCCCGTTCGCCACGCAGCCGTTTGCCCGCACCGGGCGACGGCAGCAGCAGCCTCCGGGCTCCGGCCGCATGGTCCAGGCAGCACCAGGCGCAAGATACTCTGTAGGCGGCGGCTCAGGCAGCAGCCGCGGCTCCAAGTCCCGCTCCGCACCCCACCCACCTCCCCGAAACCGGAAATGGCTGCACGGTGTCGCCAATTCCCGGGCGTCACATGGGGGCGGGGCCCACTCCCGCAGCAGCCCGGCCGCCCACGGGTGGACCGGGCGGGGGGCGGGCAGGAGGGTCTTGAGCCTATGGACCGCTGACCAATCTGGAGGAGGAGGAGGCGGACCCCATGCTGCTGCCTGGCCAGTCACGGGCGAGAGTAATGAGTTTCACCGGTGTCCAGGGCTTTTGGAGGGACTCGTGGACCTGGCACCCGATTGGAGGTCCTAGTCGGGTCGTGGGAAAGGCTTGGATGCTTAATGGTCCACACTGAACAAGGGGCCAGGAAAAAGTAGCCAATAAGAATGTGAGGAAAAAACAGAGGGCGGAGCCCGTCTCTAGAGCGGGTTCTTCGGTTCTCCTAGACAGGTGGCGCCCCCTCTCCCTTGCCTCTGGGTAAATTCTCGATTTTAATCACAGGCCAAAACAAGACTCCTTAATTTACTTAACTAAATCTTCTATGGGTGTTCATGGAATAGCTTTTCTGACATTGTCTCACCATTCATTATTCAGTATACGTTAACATATTTCTTTTTTCCTTTACCTGTCAACATTTTTTTCATAGTTTTAAATTCATTTTTCAGTTAAGTTTACATTCAATATTAGTTTGTATTAGTTTCAGGTGTACAGCATAGTGGTTAGACAGTCATATACCTTACAACACATAAACACAATTTCCTAAGTAATAATTCAGATGCCTCTGCCCTTCGCCCTGTCCCTATCAGTATTTTCTGTTCAATTTCCTTTATTAAAGAGTACTTCCTTGGAAGTCAGGAAACCTGGTCTCCTTCCTACTCCACCAATAGCCATACACTAAACCTTGAATATTTAACAACTTTTGGAGTCTCATTCTTTAAAATGGAGTTAACACTTCCTGCTTCATAGGCTCATTGCAATAATTATTTTAATAAAGCATCGTGCACCTATCATAATAATACCCGGCCACGCTAGGAGCATAATAAATACTGTATTATTTTCTTATCCCTTTAATTCTATCTTCCTACAGGGGTTAGAAAGAAAAGAAGTGGATATACATTATAGCAAGAGACTTTTGGTTACCCATAAAGAATTTAATGTCATAGTTAAGGGTATGGACTCAAGTCAGGCTGGGTTTGAATACTGGCTGCACCACTTAATAACAGAGCGACCTCTATATGTCCTCATCTGTTCAGAGTGGATAATAGACATCTTGAGGATTTAATGAGTTAATACCTGTAGTATATTTTGTAGACAACCTGGTAATTAGTAAACATTATCAAGTGTTGGTCATCATTAGTTGCTGAATGTGCCTATGAGAGCCCCGGCACTCTTCCCCCTCACCAGGAGCTTTAGAAAGGGGGTCTGACAAGTTAGCAATGTTGCATGATTTGGGAACTGGGCAATCTAACAGCAGGTGGGCAGAGCACATACCTCTTTGAGCCAACAAACAACATGATCCCAAAGAACCAAAATTTGCAATAAATGTATGAAGCGAAAAAAAGAAGCATATAGTCTGTGCCTCACATGCTGGTGGGAGAAAAGATGTGTACGTAGTAAACAGTAAGAGGCAGTGGTGAGTCTAGTCTTTCTACATAAGAAGCTTTCAAGGCAGAAATCTGGTTGGAAATATGGCTAAGGGATTTTAATTAAAATTAAAATTCAGCCTAGGTAGTAGGCTGAATGAATTTGGAAAAGACTTGAGAGGAAGATGTGGAATGAGCTTAATCCTGAAGGATGATCAGGATTTAGAAAGCTAGAAATGGGAAGGAAGAGGAGGATGTTCCTGGGAGAGAGAACCTTCAGAAGCTCAGGCGTAACGGCTGTAAAGAGCAAAGCCTTAACTTGGAGACTAAGAGTACAGGAGCATGACTAGTTTAGAGGAATCTTGTTAGCCAATCCCTCCCTCTGGAGGGCAGGATACTAGGTCCTTGTCTGGTTCTTCCACTTACTCACCATGTGTTGTCTGGGACAAGTCATGCAACATTAGCCTTGGTTTCCTCACCAATCTTAGGAAGTCAATATTTTTTGTGAGCATCGATGATACACTACACAAATGATATGATGACCTTGTATGCCATTGCTAAATCCCAAAAGGGGTGTCTCAGAAGGCAGCAGGAAATACCCCATCCTCCATGTAAGCAGAAAAACAACTCCTTCCAGATGTGCAAGCAGCCTGGTCATCCTTCAATGGAGTTCACATGCAAAGTACTGTGCGAGGCACCAGGGCTACAACTCTTCTCTTCCTCCAAGATTGCTCAAACCTTCTCAACTGTGAAACCCTTCTTGAACTCCAACCTCCCCACAAAATTATTTACTTTCTTCTCTGTGAACTTTATACACCCCCATGCAAGCACACGTCACAGTGCTTTGGGATTTTCTTTTGAAAGGGAGGTTACAGAGTGGTGAGAAACCAGATCTCTGTAGTTGGGCAGGATTGGAGACCCAACTCCAGCACTTAGAAACCTGTGACTTTGGCAAAGCTGCCTAACTTCTCTGTGACTCAGTTCCTTCATCTAGAAGATAGTACATACCTAATAGAGTTATGAAAATTAAGTGAGAAAAATATTTAGTACCCGGGCCTGTCACATAATATTCAGTAAGTGTTGGCTGTTATTAGTTAAATAAATGAATTATGTAGTAAGTGAATAAATGACAATGAATACATCTGTACCCCAGCTAGACAGAGAGCAGGCTCCTTGAGTTCTGGGAATTGTCAAATTCATTTACGGGTTTGCAGCACCTAGAAAGTGCCCAATAAATGATGAAAAAAATAAATGGGTGAATAAAGGAAAACCTGGACCTGACTCCAAGGAGCCTTCTATCACATGGAGCCTGTGTTAATTAAGGATCTTTTGGTTGATGATAACATAAGCCGATAATAGAAAACTTAATTTTTAAAAAGGCAAATTTATTGGAACTCTCCTCCAGACAGGTAATATTGGAACCCAGAAAAAAAAATCTCAAACCTCACCAATGAAAATCATAGACCTTTCTCCTAGCATCAACTTACTTCTGAGGCTTAGCTCTCAGCAACCTACAGCTTTCATATTTTCTAGATCAGACTTGTAAAGACCCAGAAAAAGAGAAATCTGATTGGCCCAGTTTAGGGTAAGATGTCTAATGCTTGACCAGCACCACTTAGCTGGAGGAGCAGCTCACCTGCACCATCAGACAGGGTTTTGGTTGCATGCAATGCTGGCTGACTCACACACAAGGGAATTCATTGAAAGGTTAGTAGCAGCCTGGACCTGGTTGCTAGCTGAGGGACCAGGCTGGAAAAGGTAGTAAGGACCTCAGTGAGGGTTTGTGGCAGAAATAGGCTGGTGAGCTCAATACCAAAATAAATGAGCTCCAGCCAGCCCTTCCATCCTTGAGCTGCTTGTCCAAGAGTCAAAGTCCTAGGAGAGATGATCAGAATGACAGAGAGGAGGTGGGACAAACAGAAAAAGGATATGGTTTCTTCACCTTTCATGTGGGAGGTGCTTACCAGGATTCACCCTCCCAAAAAGAGGACATAAAATGAGGAGAGCATTTTCCCAAAAGGAAATTGTGGACCTCATAGAAAAAGGGAACAGACATTGGACAGACGATAACCAAAGTTCACATTATCTGTTAAGATAGCAGATTTAGAGGCAATCTGCTTCTATACAAAACCCGGGGCTGAACAACTCAGAGTCATCTGATCCTGACTCTGAGAGCATCATCTCGTCTTCCCTTTCCAAATCTTTCATGCCTCATTCATTTTGGGCATCATATTAGGTACTACAAATTACAAGGATAAGGAAAACAAACCAAAACATGGTATTTGTTCTCATGGAGCGACAGTCTTGATTTAGAAGAAAGGGATCTGTTATTTCCCTTTTCATTACTCCTAATCTAATACAATAAATAAAAGAGTCGACCTCTTCTCTCCTTGGGTTTCTGGCCCTACTTTTGCTGGAAAATCTTGGATCCCATTTTTGGGCCATTTTCAGTGGTAATATTTGCATCTGCAAAACTGAATGAGCCTAGGGACCAGAGTTTAAAATTGTACTATCATTGCAAGGCCTGGGGCCCTTTTAAAGGCATGATTGCATTCAGATAGGAAGCTTCAAGAGGAATGATGGTTTCTGATTGGCTCAGAGTGCCTGTTGAGCATCCACTAGAGTGATTTTAATCTGTGTCTAACAAGGCATTTGCAATAGGAGCTTGGAGATAAAACAGATCAGTGCTCCAGGGATAGGCAGCTAGAACCTGTTTCTTAATGGTAGGTCTCTGCCCTCTTGTTTCCTGTGCCCCAGAAGTACCTCAGAGCCTCCTACTCAACTGCCATGCCCCACACTGCCACCCTGGACTTCCTGTGGGTACTCACGGGCTGACTGTTGCAATCATCTGAGGCTCTGCTTCAGGAAGTGGACTTTTACTTCTGGCTCCAGGAAGGAGGAGAAGGGGTGGTGCTGCAGATAACAATTATGTTGGTGATGGTATTAGTCAAGACTCTTTGACTTGCAAGTTTTGAAACTGAATTCAAATTGAATTAAGCATAGAGATTTATTGGCTTACATACCAGAAAGACTAGGGGTAGATCTAACTGGATCTAGGTGCTCAAACCATGTCATCAAAAATCTGTCACCATCCTTGGTCCGGTGTCCCAATAAGTTGGGCTCATTCCTAGTTAGGAGGTCAGCATGTGATGGTAAATTTGGCCCATGTCTGGCAAGCTTGCAGTCAAACAGTCAAACAGCTTTAAAATCTCAGCTGAAGGAGTGCCTCTTTTCTAGAGTCCCAGGAAGAGTCCTAGCTGAGTTTCCATTGGCCCATCTCAGGTCACATGCCTCAGGCAAATTTTGAATTGATTGGTCAGGCCTGAATCTTGTGCCCACCCATTCTGCCAGTTCTGAGCCACAGGCTCAAAAAATGGGAGACCAATGATCTTCCAAGTGGAAGAGATGTGTGCTGTTACCAAAAAAGGGGTACTAGGCAGGGATAAACAACAGATGTCCATTATACTGCTTATGTTGAATATTACAAT